CCTATGACACACCCCCTCACCTCTGACACCCCTCACCTCTGACACCCTCACCTCTGACACCCCTCAACTCATGACCCCCACCCACACACCCCTCACCTCTGACACCCTCACCTATGACACCCTCAACCTGACACCCCTCATATTGACACCCTCACCTATGACACCCCTCACCTATGACACCCCACCCATGACACCCCTCACCTCTAGCACCCCCTCACCTATGACACCCTCACCCATGACACCTCACCTATGACACCCCCACTCCCCACACCCCTCACCTCGACACCACCCCTGACACCCTCACCTATGACACACCTCACCACGACACCCCCCTCACCTCTGACACCCCTCACCTATGACAGCCCTCACCGACACCCTCACCTATGAACTGGCCCTCACCTATTACACTCCTCACCTATGACACCCTCACCTCCTCTGGACACTCACCACACCCCTCACCTCTGACACCCCTCACCTATGACACACTCCACCTATGACACCCCTCACCTCTGACACCCTCACCTCTGACACCCTCACCTCTGACACTCACCTATGACACTCTCACCAACACACCCTCACCCACACCCCTCACCATGACACCCCTCACCTATGACACTCCCTCACCTACACTCCTCACCCTGACACCTCACCTATGACACCTCACCCAGACACCTCACCTATGACACCTGTCACCCAGACACCCTCACCTATGACACCCTCACCTTGACACCTCACCTATGACACTCCTCACCTATGACACCCCTCACCTATGACACACTCCTCACCTATGACACCCCCACCGTGACACTCACCTATGACACCCCTCACCCTGACACCCCTCACCCATGACACCCCTCACATATCCTCACCTATGACACCCTCACCTATGACACCCTCACCTATGACACCCCTCACCTATGACACCCCTCACCCCATGACACCCCTCACCTATGACACCCCTCACCTATGACACCTCCTCACCTTGATGACACCCTCACCTCTGACACCCTCACCTATGACACCCTCACCTCTGACAACCCTCACCTTGACACCCTCACCTATGACACCCTCACCTCTGACACCTCACCTATGACACCCCTCACCTATGACACCCCTCACCTCTGACACCCTCACCTATGACACCCTCACCTATGACACCCTCACATCTCTCACCTATGACACTTCACCACACCCCTCACCTATGACACCCCCACCTATGACACCCTCACTTGACACCCTCACCTATGACACCCTCACCTATGACACCCTCACCTATGACACCCTCACACCTATGACACCTCACCAATGACACCCTCACCCCTGACACCCCTCACCTATGAACACCCTCACCTATGACACCTCACCTATGACACCTCACCCTGATGCCTCACCTATGACACCCTCACCTCTGACACCCCTCACCTATGACACCCTCACCTCTGACACCCTCACCTATGACACCCTCACCTGACACCCTCACCTGACACCTCCTCTGACTCTACGACACCCTCACCTCTGACACCCTCACCTATGACACCCCTCACCTATGACACCCTCACCTCTGACACCCTCACCTATGACACCCTCACCTCTGACACCCCTCACCTCTGACACCCTCACCTATGACACCCTCACCTACGACACCCCTCACCTATGACAGCCCTCACCTATGACACCCTCACCTATGACAGCCCTCACCTATTACACCTCACCTATGGACACCCTCACCTCTGACACCCTCACCCATGACACCCTCACCTCTACACCCTCACCATGACACCCTCACCTATGACACCTCTCACCTACACTACTGACACCCCTCACCTCTGACACCCCTCACCTCTGACACCCCTCACCTATGACACTCCTCAATCCCCACTCACCTCTGACACCCCACCTGTCCCTCACCTATGACACCTCACCCGACACCCCTCACCTATGACACTTCACTCTGACACCTCACCTATGACACCTCACCTATGACACCCTCACCTATGACACTGTCACCTATGACACCCTCACGACACCCTCACCTATGACAGCCTCAATGACACCCTCACCTATGACACCTCACCTATGACACTCTCACCATGACACCTCACCTATGACACTCCTCACCTATGACACCTCACCTCTGACACCTCACCTATGACACCTCACCTATGACACCCTCACCTATGACACCTCTCACCTATGACACCCCTCACCTATGGCCCTCACCTATGACAGCCTCACCTATGACACCCCTCACCTATGACACCTCACCTATGACACTCCTCACAGACACTCTCACACCTCTGACACCCTCACCTATGAGAATCACCCTGACAACCTCACCTCTCTGACACCTCACCTATGACACCCCTCACCTATGACACCCCTCACCTATGACACCCTCACCTATGACACTCTCACCTGACACCCTCACCTCTTACACCCCTCACCTATGACACCCTCACCTATGACAACCCTCACCTATGACACCTCTCACCTATGACATCCTTGCCCTGACCCGCATCACTTGACCAACAAAGTGAGCATGACCCCTCTCCCCCCTTCCACGCTCCAGCAGCTCCTCGGCCTTCACGCTCTGTCATACGCACCTGGTGACAGAGGGACTCATGTCGGAGGGACTGTCAAGTGTGTCATGGGGTGCTGCAGTAGCTGGACTGGCATAGTGTGGGTCCTGCGTTGTGTGTTGAGAGAGAGAGAGAGAGAGAGAGAGAGAGAGAGAGAGAGAGAGAGAGGAAGAAATAAATACCTGACAACCAAATGGCAACACTTGAAACCGGGAAACAAGAGAACAGCGGAGTTGATCAGGGGTCATGGTAGGTGACGTTTGACCTATGACCTAATCCTTCCTCTGCTCTCTAACTGCCTTACGATAGTGATTTACGGCGAATTTTGGCGTGAAAATGGTAGATTGTTGTTCATTTTGTCGTGGAAATAATAAGGCTATATCATTTCGCATTTTGAGATGATCATTGCAAATTGTGGCGTAATATCCTACATTAGCATACAACTTTAACGTGATGTAGCGTGACCATTGTGTAGCCAGGAATGATTTCAATTCAGCAATGTCGCGGACTATGTCATAGGAATAAAAGATTTCAAGCAAAAAGAACGTTTAGTAGAAGCTTACGACTTGTGGGTTATGTTGACACGAGAATGTTACGTTTGTTACGGTGTATAAATAACACTTATAACGTTCTTCCTTGTTTGTTGTAAGGTTGTGGACCCTCTATGACGTAAATACCTGACATTATGGCGGAATTGATAACAAAGAGAGAGGCACCTCATGACAGAATGTAAAAGAAGATTTCGGAGCCATTTTAAAGTGATAATGTCAGCTAATATGGCGTCAGAAGAGGGTTTTACAGTGCCATTGCTAAGACAGAAAGTTATAGTGAGATATTCTACTGTGTTTTGGCGCAGAAATAAAGCAGTTGGCACCTCTTTTAAGGAAGAAAATGGCTTGTTGCTATTTTTGGCCCTTGGCGTGAAGATGTGGGTTTGGGCGTGAAGATGTGGGTTTTGGCGTGAAGATGTGGGTTTTGGCGAAGATGTGATGGAGCGAAGATGAGTTTGGGAAGATGTGGTCTGGGTGAAGATGTGGGTTTTGGCGAAATGGGTTTTGGTGAAGATGTTTTTTGAAGATGTGGGTTTGGTGAAGATGTGGTTTTGTGAAGATGGGTTGGTGAAGATGTGGGTTTTGTGAAGATGTGGGTTTTGTGAAGATGTGGGTTTTGGCGTGAAGATGTGCTTTGGCGTGAAGATGGGTTTTGTGTGTTAAATAGGATCTAGTTTCATATTGGGAGTTCTGGTGTGGATATAACCCATTGTATGTGTGTTAACCTCGATCTGACCTGTGGTGCATTTAAGGCTGGTCTAGCGTATTCTCACGGTCATACTAGTGTGACAAAACTTGGTTAGGTGTGACGCGGTGGGTGGCGTGGTGTGGGGGTGACGACGTGTGACGGGAGTGCCAGTAGGTTTCATGGTCAGTTTGGTTGTGGTGGTGGTTGTGGTCGTGTTAGTAATTTATGGTGGTGGTGAAGGTGAACGCGTTTGCCCATCGGAGTGAGCCTTCCTCTTATAATTACAATCCTTGCCTGTATTCTGTAGTCTAAAGGAAATACTACTACTTTTACTACTACTACTACTATGACTACTACTACTACTGCTACTACTACTAATAATAAAATAGTTAATGGGTTATTTCACCAACTGGCAGGATGCTCATCCACCATCAACAGTAAACTTGATAGTGCACTCAGTTCTCGCTGGTGGTCATGTCCAAGAGGGAACAAATCCTTCACTAAGGTAAGGGGATTGAACCCGTGACTATTCGCTTTCTTCCCGTTCTCTCTTCTCTGTTTATCGTTTTCTTTTCCTCTTATTGAATGATGTTTCCCGCTACCCAGAGCGACTCAGTGACGTGTTCAACAGAGAAATCCCGGAGATACCACTTGGAAAAACTTGTAACACCGAAGAGAAACTCTAAACCCATTGTTGTCTATCAAGCTGTGTTCGTCTATTGCAAGACATCGTCCCCGCAGATAAAAAATTCCCTTGTGTTTATAATATCTATGGGTTGTTTTTATTCAAAAGGAACCATTATGTGCGAAAAGTCTCCAGAAATGACGCAGATGAATAAATGGAAGGTTTTACGTTCGTATTCGTGCAACCTAACGCAACTTTTGGGTGCGCGCCAAAGCACCTATCGTTCAGCATATAGCTAAGTGGGCATTAAGGTGTTGCTGTGTGGTATTAACTTCACAGCATTATTCCCTTTACATAATCAATGATTTTATGACTGTAGGTTAAGCAGAAATTACAAACAAAATTTTATGGCAAAGGTAAAATGTAGAAATTTTATTTTATTGAACTAAAATTTTCATAAATTATCGGTCAAGAGCCATAGACCGGCGTCACCAGGTGAGCTACAAAGGTATATAAGAGAAGGCGGCGCACACTGTGGCTCAGTCTCAGGGTGTAGATGCAGACGTAATAAATGGTGTCTTGGGTGCTCCTCTGTGTGTTGGGTGAGTACAGTAATCATTAAATCCTGTTATACTTCAGGTTTTCCATCACCTATGCCATTTTTTGGGGGGGTTGAGTTTTGAAGAAAGTGAGAGGTTGAAGCAGAGTGAAGGAAGACGAGCAAAAAAGAATATTCAGAGATTTAGAGGAATTACTTTCACCAAGGTGGACGGGTCGAGGCGCCGGGGTTAATAGCGGCCATTATCTTCACATGTCCTTAACAGTGTTTCTTGACCTGGGTGTCTTATATAACAAAGTGAACTTCATAAGATACGATCAAATAAGACTTAGTAGTAATATATGATGTCGTAAAGGTTCAGTGAACCATGAAACAGTACGAGAATAGAAACCTGTGAAAATGAGTTATATCAAAGTACTGTATATAGACAACAGTATTTAGTAACTACAACACGAGGTAGAATTATTTTGGTGGTGTCTTAACGTAAATGTGAACATAACTTATAACTACTTAACGTAGTCACTTATGCTACACATTTATGTAAAATGGAGACTTTGAATTAGTTCAGCGACATAAACACATTTAACCCAACTAGTGTATAGCTTCATCTTGTACGTAATAATAATTAATATATTGTAAATATATAAAAATTTATCTAACTCGAATGATTCATTTTAATTAATAATACCATTTTTGAATTCCAGTGAATATATTAAGGAAAACATTAATTTTGCGATTCATAATACCTTTTCCCTGTAATAAAATATACAGCAACATAACTTAGATATACAAATAAATGATACTTATGTAGGTTATGGGTTACCTTTCGAGATAAGTGAAGGATCTAAGAAACAAGACAAAGATGTTAAGTAGATATGTGTAAAGGAACAGGTTTTAAGAGATGTGGGACCGTTATAAAACCAGTAACCTATTGTTGACATAGTTTTATGAAGTCTGTACAGTACACCGAGTCCAAATGTATCCGTTATTATTATTATTATTATTATTATTATTAGTAATAGTAGTAGTAGTAGTTCTCGTAGTAGTAGTAGTAAAATAAAACAAGAATAATGAAAGAAGAGAAAGGATTATGGGGAAATTTTTTATTCCTCTTCAAAATCCCTCCCCCACCGCCCTTCTCACTGAACCAACACACGGGTTGACCTATCTGCCAGCAGTGGAGAAACTGTTTGTTCTTTTACAGTGTTGGTTTAGGTTTAGTTAGGTTACTGTTAATAGCATTACGTTAGGTTAGCATTAAGTTAGGTTAGGTTGGGATGAGACAGAGCCAAGTGAGGTGAGAGGAAAAAAGTCATACGGAAAATAATTACGGAAAATAGCAAGGCTATATGGGAAAGAAGTCACGGGAAATAGTCAAGGAAAATTGGTAAAAACAAGTCGGGGGCAAAATAGTCACAGGGGAAAGAAGTCGCAAACTTAACCTAACCAAACCTGACCTAACCTCGCCTAGCTTAACCAGACTTAACCTAACCTAGCCTGACCTGACCTGACCTGACCTGACCTAACCTAACCAAACCATATTTACAAAATGTGTTTCCTGTGATTTTTTCTCTCTGATTTTTTCCCCTTGACAAAATTGACTTTATTTTTCTGTGACTTTTCTGATCACGGGATTGTCTTGTGAACCGTATATATAGATTGAGTGCGTTCTATAGAGTGTGTGTGTGTATGTTCATTTTGATATACAAAGTCATATGATAGCTGACACACACACACACACTGAGGCCTAACACACACACACACACACACACACACACAAAACCACTTGACACACACACACAAGAGGCCTGATACACACACAAGGGCCTGCACACACACAAAGGGCTGACACACACACACACACACACAAGGACCTGACACAAACACAAGGGCTGACACACACATACACAAGGGCTGACACACACACAAGGGGCTGACACACACACACACACACAAAGGGCTGACACACACACACACACAAGACCTGACACAAACCAAAGGGCTGACACACACATACACAAGGGCCTGACACACACACAAGGGGCTGACACACACACAGAGGGCTGACACACACACACACACAAAGGGCTGACACACACACACAAGGGCTGACACACACACACACACACAAGGGCTGACCACACACACAAGGGCTGACACACACACACACAAGGGGCTGACACACACACACACACACACAAGGGGCTGACACACACACACAAAGGGGCCTGCACACACACACACACAAGGGCTGACACACACACACACACACAAAGGGCTGACACACACACACCAGGGCTGACACACACACAAAGAGGCTGACACACACACACAAAGGGCTGACACACACACACACACAAAGGGCTGACACACACACACCAGGGGCTGACACACACACACACACAAGGGCTGACACACACACACACCAAGGGCTGACACACACACACACAAAGGGCTGACACACACACAAGGGGCTGACACACACCACAAAGGGCTGACACACACACCAGGGGCTGACACACACACACACAGAGGGCTGACACACACACACACACACAAAGGGCTGACACACACACACACAAAGGGCTGCACACACACACACAAGGGCTGACACACACACACACAAAGGGCTGACACACACACACACACACACACACACACACACACAAAGGCCTGACACACACACACACACACACAAAGGGCTGACACACACCAGAGGCTGACACACACACACAAAGGGCTGACACACACACACACAAGGGCTGCCACACACACACACACACACAAAAGGGCTGACACACACACACAAGGGGCTGACCACACACACACACACACACACAAAGGGGCCTGACACACACACACACAAAGGGCTGACACACACACACACACACACACACACGCAAAGGCCTGACACACACACACACACCAGAGGCCTGACACACACAAGGGCCTGACACGACTAAGGCTGACCACACACACACAGGGCCTGACCACACACACACAGGGGCTGACCACACACACACAGGGGGCTGACACACACACAAGGGCTGACCACACACACACACACACACACACACACACAAAGGGCTGACACACACACACACACACACACACACACACACAAGGGCTGACACACACACACACACACAAGGGCTGACCACACACACACACACACCCAAGGGCTGACACACACACACAATGGGTGACACACACACACACACACACACACACACACACACACACACAAAGGGCTGACACACACACACAAAGAGCTGACACACACACACACACACACACAAGGGCTGACCACACACAAGGGCTGACACACACACACACACACACACACAAAGGGCTGACACACACACACACACACACACACACACAAAGGGCTGACACCAAAGGCTGACACACACACACACAGGGGCTGACCAGGCTGACACACACACACAGCACACACACACACAAGGACACACACACACACAAAGGGCTGACACACACACACACACACACAAGGGCTGACCACACCAAAGGCTGACACACACACACACACACACACCTGGGGCTGACACACACACACACAAAGCTGACACACACACACACACACACAAGGGCTGACACAGGGCCCGACACACACACACAAAGGGCCACACAAGGGCCGACACACACATGCAAAGGGCTGACACACACACACAAAGGGCTGACACACACACACAAAGAGCTGACACACACACACACACACACACACACACACAGGGCTGACACACAAAGGGGCCGACACACACACACAAAGGGCTGACACACAAGGGCCCGACACACACACATCTAAAGGGCTGACACACACACACACACAAAGGGCTGACACACACACACAAAGGGCTGACCACACACACACAGGGCTGACACATACCAAGGGCCTGGCACACACACAGAAAGGGCTGACACACATGCAAAGGGCTGACACACACCACAAAGGGCTGACGCACACACAAAGGGCTGACACACACACAAAGGGCTGACACGCACACACAAGGGCTGACACACACAGGGCTAACACACACACACACAAAGGACACTGCACACACACACACACGCACAAAAGGCTGACACCAGAGGGCTGATGTTCGAGGGTCTGAGACCACTGACGTCAGTTGATATCACGAACCCGGAACCTTCTGTTTAGTAACGTGATCACGCCGACACACACACCGTATTGACATGGCTTATACTGTAAATAATTTGTTGCTATTGACGATGAAAAGCCGCGCGTGTATGAGAGAGAGAGAGAGAAATTTGGATTAGTATTTTGTGGCTGTTAAAATTCCTCTCTCTCTCTCTCTCTCTCTCTCTCTCTCTCTCTCTCTCTCACACAAGCACAGCCATCAATCACTATGTTTACTAGTTACAGCTGTTCTTTGTTTACTAGTTACAGCTGTTCTTTGTTTACTAGCTACAGCTGTTCTTTGTTTACTAGTTACAGCTGTTCTTTGTTTACTAGTTACAGTTGTTCTTTGTTTACTAGTTACAGCTGTTCTTTGTTTACTAGTTACAGCTGTTCTTTGTTTACTAGTTACAGTTGTTCTTTGATTACTAGCTACAGTTGTTCTTTGTTTACTAGTTATTAGCTGTTCTTGTTCAATAGTTTACAGCTGTTCTTTGATTACTAGCTGTGCTCGTTCTTGTTTACTAGTTACAGCTGTTCTTGTTTACTAGTTACAGCTGTTCTTTTGATTACTAGCTACAGTTGTTCTTTTGTTTACTAGTTACAGCTGTTCTGTCTACTAGTTACAGCTGTTCTTGTTTACTAGTTACAGCTGTTCTTGTTCACTAGTTACAGCTGTTCTTTGTTTTACTAGTTACAGCTGTCTCTTTTGTTTTACTAGTTACAGCTGTTCTTTTTCTTACTAGTTACAGCTGTTCTTTGTTTACTAGTTACAGTTGTTCTTGTTTACTAGTTTACAGCTGTTCTTTGTTTACTAGTTACAGCTGTTCTTTGTTTACTAGTTACAGTTGTTCTTTGTTTACTAGTTACAGCTGTTCTTTGTT